AAAAAATTACTGTTATTTCTGAGGGTGTGGAAAGTATTCTTCACCTATTAGACTATTATGTACCTAATGCTGAGGAAATAATAGTATTAATGTGCCCAAATTTGTCCTCTTGGTGATACTGAGAATGTCTTTTTGTTCACCTATCAGAAAACTCACATCTGTCTTGGATGCAAATTCTAACAATCTTCTGATGGTGTTACTTCATACTGTTGTCTCTTTATTTCTGTGTTTCCCCAGTACAATGTAAGCTATTTTCTGAAGTAACCAAGAATTTATCAGTCAGCCTTTTGGCTGACCTCTGGCCAAAAGGGCTTGCTTTGTTTTACCAGCTTTTGAAGTTTCCTCTCTGCTTTATTATCACTTTATTTGTCAGTGTAGCATGTAGCAGGATCCTTACTCTCAGTATCTGGACAGTTGGAGAAATGTGTGGAGTGTGAAAGGAAAGCTTGATTTCTAATAATTTAAAGCAGACTGCTCGGTCCCTAGGCAGGTCAGAGAGGGACCGTATTAGTCTGTCCTCCCCTGTCATGGAAAAGGAGCTAACTGGGTCATCCAGCCAGAAAGCTTGATCATAGCTGATTTAAGGTGCTGTAATATTCATATTCCCTATCTTAGTAACATCTTTTGAAGGAAGTTGTGGTCAGTGAAGAGAGAAAAATGACATAAATGTGTCATGTCTAACTTCATGTGACATGAATTTCTTTAATATTTGATTCAAATATACAAAGAAACACTAATGGCTAGAAATATTTACCTACTACTTTCTCCTCTGAGACTATGCCATTAGAGTGTGCAAATAAGAAGAAAGACACTAACACTCAGTACAATAATTATAAATGTTTTTTTAGCAAGTTGTAAGTGCAAAATAGAAGACAAAAATCCAAACTACTAACTGATATGCACTGAATATTTTTTTTCTGGATGATCTTGCACTATTTTTAATAGTGGTTTGAAAAAGGAAGGCTTTAAAAATTGTACAAGTTTGAAAGAATTAATCTGTTATGCAATAACAATTGTGCTGAACAGAAAAAGAGCAGCTGTTACTGGAAGTTACAGTTAATTGTTGTATTTTCCAACACAAGGTTGTTTGGTGGGAACAGTGGGGAAAAAATGCAAGCAACTGCCAAAAAACAAGCGTGTGAGGTGAAACTTGAAGTTGCTCTCATGAGAACTTTCTAAGATTCATAAGTAACTGAGAAAAGCATGCTGTATTTAAATCTCTGGAGATGTATTGTACTGTATAGAGACAGAGCACAGCACACAGTGTTGGCAGGAGAAAGAAAGGAGAACAGAAAATCAGAAAGACTGATGGGAAGGTAAGGGTCATCAGGATGGATGGAGAATAAAATGCCTGCTGCCACTTCAAGTTTGTTTGGGGTTTTTTTTGTGGCTTCCTGAGTAAATTTGAAGCTCCTAATCTTTCCCTCTCCCCTCACCCCCACAGAACAGGTTTTCATGTGCTTTTTCAATGGAATGAGCAAAGCATGTCCCTGTTACAAATCTGTAGAGTAGAAGATAGATAAATTAGCTTGCGGCATTTTGTGAGCACTGTAGGCCAAATCTGATGTGATATATGCATGCCTTAAAAGCAATCTCTGAAGAGGGACTTAAGCAAAATATCCCACCTAGGTTCTGGCTATCGTTAGACCGGTGGGAAAGCTGTGGCAGAAAGTGTCCCTAGGCAGGCTGCAGACAGGAACAGAAGGTCCAGAGGCGAGGGGCCTGGACCTCTTGTTGCATGGGTGCCTCCTGGCCCGGCAGTGGCCATTACTCATATGTGAGCATTTCTCTGCTTTGGCACTGCTTCTGACCCGTGAAATCTGCCACAGGGTCTGCGCTCTGGGAATACAGCTTGTTAGTCAATGTGTTCTTCCAGCACAAGGCTATAAAACATTGTAGGTCATAATAGGCAGCTATTTATTTCTTAATATGTCCTTAGGTGCCAGAGGGGAGATTTTTTTCATAAAAATAGTACTGGAATGCATTTATTAGGGATTGACTGTATTTATTTTGAACCGCAACACATTCATCCAGATCCACAGTCAAAACTACAAGAAAGTACAGTTTCCACTATACTCTGAGCTTGATTGTCTGAGCACTTATCCTTGCCTGTATTGCCTCCCATTGTGAATAACTCGGCTGGCTTCTATGAAACAACATGCAGTAGCCAACCCTTAACCCAGTACTATTTGCAGGATCACTCTCCAAATTACTTCAGTACTAAGTTTAGCTCTAAAGAACAAACACATTGCCCAAAAAAAGAAAAAGAACAAACCCAGACTGAAAGTTGAGCAATGCTCTGAAAATGAATTTTTTCAACATTAAAACGATCAAGCCTGATTACTATTAATTCATTAACCAGAACGTCTTACAGCTGGAAAAACTGTTTCTTGTTGCCAACTGTATTATATTAATTCAACGTGAGTGAGACCACTGAATATCAGTTGATATTAGAAAATTGCATCATTTATGCAAAGTAAAAATACTTTTTTGTTTTGCACAAAACAGATCATGATGTCTGTGTAAGCTTATGGCATGATATGATTATTATTGTTCCCATTACATTATGGAGATACTGGTCATGGTTCTGTAGTTAAGACTCAACTAAGTTTTGTCCCTAAAGTAGGAATTCATTCTTACACTTATAAATGTAAATTATGTCAAATCTGAAACAGGTCTATAACACCTTGTTCCTGAATGAAATTCTGGCTTCTGTGAAGTCAGTATGAATTGTGGTATTAGTACCATATGTCTTCAAAGAATTTACAAACATATTCAATGATTAATTAAAGTTTAAAAATATGTTCTTTAAGCAAACACAGAATTGACAACAACTTGTTGAGAGCATATTTTAGATATTGCTATGCTATCACGCTAGTGTGTCACTGCTTACAATTTGCATGTTGATAACTTCAGACAAGTAAATATCACTTATGCAGAAATTCAGTGCATAGGAATGGCTTAAGTAGGAGAAACAAGATTTCATGTTGATTTACAGGCAGAACCTGTTGTGATCAGAAGGATTTTGAGAAAATGTACAACTTTATGTACCTTGGCCAATGCACAGACATGCAGCAAGTGTGGGCTGGTCACTCAGTAGGTTGTGTAAATAAACTGTCCCTTCCTTTCTCATTCCTGACCTGTATTCTGCTTTTCCCCATGTTTTCCATGGTGTACTAAAGGAAGCAATATCGTGAGGCATATTGAAGTCTACTGATTATGCAAAATTTTAGCACAATAAGTGATAACCTGCCCCTACCATTTTGGACAAAACCAGTTACTTCTGGTTAATTAGCTGTCTATTTTTATTTTCTGCACAGATATTTCACATTAGATGTTGGAGTCAGTGGAAGAGTAAGTGCCTTTGAGACCTGAGGGCAGCCCTCTGACTGTTCCTACCTATGTAATCCCTCTCCAGACACAGACGGTTGGCAGCCACCTAGGAGTGCTCCTGCCAGGTATCATCAAGGGGCGAGAGACAGTGCTCATTGCAAGGGGGAGCAAAAGGAGGCTCAGTCTGCAATCGCTTTTACACACCATCTTGGTTTATGTACTGCAATTTATCAATATACAGGACAGATGAACTAGCTTGTCTGTGCTGCCAATATAAGGTCTACAGTTAGGAATAAGTTCCACATTGTACTCTTGATTATCCTGTATCTGCCTCTGCTCAGATTGAGGACTAATTCTGTAAACCCTCCCTTCTTATTGCGACTCTCCAGATAATGATACAATGCAGTCAAATGTGCATGGGTACAGCTATACCAGTTTTCAACCCACAGCAGAGAAACGCTGAATCAAATGAACATTTTGCACAGGGTTGATATGGTCTCTGGGCAACCTGAGCTCATTACAGTTCTCTAAGTTTTCTTCAAAAACGTAATTAAAATTGGAATTGTACTCCCTCAAGTATACAGCATCATCTGACTTACAGCTGCAGCAAGCAAAGCTTTGCTTGACCTGCTAATTCTATCCCTTTGCTGTCATGAATTTGGCGTGGCATACCAGGGAGCGTGATAAAGACATTCAGTGACACAGGCCTGATCTGCCCAAATGCTGAGGCAGATTCTGACCACAGTATTTTCCAAACTACTTCTGTGGATACCTCACCAAAGTGCACAGGCTATTACTGGCAACACAAAGGGTTCCTCCCTTCAGGAGTGAAATCAGAAAATAGTGTGGAATTCTAGGGAGCAGAATTGTAGGAATCCAAAGGGAAAAGCGCCCTAAAATGAGTGCATTGAACTGGTACTGTGAAGTTTTGTCATGAAAATAGCTCAGGAGCATCACTGAATAGGATGATTCATGATCACCACCACCAGCCATATATATATCTATACATATTAGAAATGAACTTTGATTTAATCAGATACATTCAATTCACAATGATTAAGCAGAAATAATTTCATTTTTCACGGCTGGATATTTAGGAAGTGGTGTATGTAAAACCACTTCTCTTTAGTGAGAGACAACCCATGTTTCAGAACTCTGATGTGGAGCTGGCTTTCCTTGGGGAATTCAGATCTAGGACTAGGTTTGAGACCAGTTTCTAATTTTAATTACTGCTACCAAAATAAAAATTACTCCCACAAAGCAGATGAAATCCCCCCACGTAGATCAGCAGCAGAAGGCCTCTTTAAAGCTTGTACAGACATAGGCCTTGTGCTGACCTCTGCACAGCATAAGCCTCTGTTGCTGGCCCATCTCCACAGGAATGAATTTTATCCAGAAAGCACAGTGGAAGAGGTTCAGATTAATATTCTAGATTAGGCTTTTAATATTAGGTAGCAAAATGGTCAAGTAAATAGTTTAACTTAACTGAACATTATTACTATGAAGAACCTGTGCAGAAGTACAGCTTTGTCTTTTTGGTGTCGATCTTGTAACACACAGTTTTTAACTTTTGTCATCATATTCTGAGTTACTAACCCTCATTACTGATGAGTTGATTCCTTGCTGTTCAATTAGTGGCTCCATAAAAATTTAGTAAGTTATTTAAAACTACTTCAATTGACATTTAGCCAATTCAGGTATTATTTTTAATTTTCAGACAAGCCATTCTTAAATAATGGCTATAAGAAATGAGCGATGCTTTTAGACGTTAATTCAACACTGAACCAATTAACTACCTATGCATGCAGTTTCATAGCAATAGCTCATCTATTTTCAGTTAATTAGGCAGCATGATTAAGATCATATATGTTGAATTAACAGGTCAGTGCATCATCTCACTACAATTTCATCTAGGAGATAACTTGATCTGAAAGCCATACAAAAAGAACAACAATTTACCCTTCCCATCCCCAAGTTGCCAGTTTTGAATGTGATCAGCCCGATGTTTCATGGAAAGAGCTCAGTTTTTAACTTGTCTTCTATATAGATTTTCTGCTTTGAAATGTGAATTTCTAATTGAGGCATACAGGTTTGTTTGGACCATTTTATAAATCATTTGCATAAAAACTGCACAACAAAATGAGAGAGAAGATTCTTCACTTCTTACTCCATATTGGTCAGTTCGTATTTATCATACACATCATTTTCTTCTCCTGGCTGAGTATCTGAGTGATGAATTTCAATGAAAATAATATAAATTATTGCTCCAAGTACACCTCCCAGCATAGGTGCAACTATAGGGACCCACCACCAATTATTTCCAGCCCTGTAAGACAAAAAACGAAATGAACAAGAAGTATCATTATTTGTTAGTCTAGTGAACACCCTACCTTATATTTGGCAGTGAACAAATACGGTGGCGTGACACTTGCTGTACTGTAGACCTTTTTATCTCTGTAAATGGATGACACCCCTCTCTGTCCTGCCCATGATGTGATTGAAATGCTAAGTAACAACCACATGGCACGTTGGTCTACGTGCTGTACTTGCACATTAGAAAACAAGGCCTCTTTACTGCATGCCTGTTTTGGGGGCAGGGGATAATTTCTCCCTTGTGGAAAATGGGCTACATTGACTTACAGTGAAATGAACAGGCACATATTTATTGCACAGCAATCTTGACTGATGCTGTTGCCAGATGCTCATGAATAGGTTTTCAGGAGTGATTAATGCAAATGTATGTTGCAAAAATGGGTTATCTCATCTGCATGGAGATTTGCAGGTTCAGGCCTGCAATAGTATATACGGTGTTCCTCTTGGCAAGTATAATAGATTATACTTGATTTTGAGTATATTTGCCTCAAGGAATGTAATAAAACACAGTGACTGTAAAGTGGATTATACTTGACTAGAGTGGTCAAGATTCAAATTTCATGATGTAGTGTCTTAGCTCTTTGTTTAAAATGTGGGGTCTTTCAGTAAGAGGTAAATAAGCATTTAGAAGTTTTATCCACCTAAAACTTGACATTTTTTAGAATTGCTGTATTCAGTAAGAAAGTCCGGCATATTGGCTCCGCTGAAATGTTTACGTTCACTTTGCACAATTACTAGGATTTAATTTTAAATGTGTAGATTTATGAACTTTTTTAAAGAAATAAGTCCACCATTAAACAATAAATAACCTCTCTTTGCAGGAGACTTAGGCTTGTAGAATTGCTCTACCTTTCCTGGAGGTCCATATTCAGACAGTAAATTACTGAGCATTGGTTTCAGAGCACAGACTTTCTTAACTGTACTGGTGCATGAGGGTGTTTTGATTCGATCACATGCTGTATTAATTGAATATGCGAGTCTGCAGTGAAAACCCAGCCACCTCAATTTCATGCACGTTGAAAATGGAGAAGTAACTTTTTTTTTTCCTCCCAGAAATACAAAAGGACAAATTAATCTGTGAGAGAAACTTTACAGGAAGCTGCCAGGGGAATTTTTAAACTGTAAGGATAATTATTCAGCACTCTGTTGTGTATAGATTTATGCAGAAGTGAGCTTGTGGTTAAGTCACAACACAAGAATAGAACAGGGCTAATCTCACAGTGCCTTATTGATGATGATATTATTCCTTGTTCGGAAATGCCTTGGATATGTATGTTTTGCCTTTGGAATTATTTATATTTTGCCCTGAGGATATAAAATAACTCCTGATATTGTCCTACTGAGTTTATAGATCTGTTTGTTGTTGAGTCATGGAAGTCTGTCAAAGCCTCTGAATTTCTGGAACAAGCATGGACTAAGGATTTATTGAATTAATCAGCCCAACAAAATCTGTATCAAGTACTTGCATGTATTCCTCTGCGTGTGCCCACGTGTGTATGTGGGCATATAATGAAGGTGTTTCTTGGCAGGTTTCTCTCTCGGCTTGTTCCATGAACTGACATGTGCCTCGTTGGCTCCTGCGTGACCTTATCCAAGTCATGGCCTGTATTTGCAGCAGCTGCTATCAGCTGCGCTTTGGACACCCTCTGCTAAGATGATGGGTGTAAAGTCTTTATAGAGGGCGATGCCAAAGCTGAAATGAGATCAGGACGCAGCTAAGTTACGAGTTTCCATGACACTCAATCCTCCTTCATTGACACAGGAGCAATGTCTCTAAGTGACAAGCACAGATAGCTTCGCTGAAGTAACCTTAGTTCCCTTATACCCTAGCTTACAGCTTTGCTGCCAAGGTAGCAGGAAAACATCCAGCTATGCCTTTGTCATCATCAGGCCTTTTTGCTGTTGGGCAGAGCAGGAGGGAGGAGGAGGAGGAGGTGGAGGAGGCAGTGCACAGGCCTGGCAAGTGGCGCTTTGGTTAACTGCAAAAATTTCCAGGAAACTACAGCATATAAGCTACATGAATGGGCCAAAGTTCCCAGTCCTAGACTTGCAAGTACGTTTCTCACCTAGCCAGCTGCTGCGGGCCGGTGAGGTAGCACTGTTTGCTCTAAGAAATGCCAGGATAATTCAGGCATTCAGCAGTGCAGAATGTGTCTGGCTACTGTTCTACGCTCCGGGAAGAAAGCAAAATATTTCGGAGGCCACTTTGCCATCCAAATCCCTGTGCAGACAAGAGGTGCGTCTCCTGACCCTTTCCAAAATGCAGTTTAGTTTAGTCCGGGCGACTTGTCCCCGGTGCCGGCGGCGGGGCCGGCGGCCACGAGGTGTCAGCGTTACCGCGCCGGCG